ACAGACGACGATGCGGTGTCTGCCCCCAGGCATCACTTCGCGCCACGCCTCTCCAGCGGAAGGACGTGCGCTCCAGCAGTCAAAAATTCGTCCTACCTATTTTCCTTTCTGTCTGTACAGAATACACTCTTCCTATCACTCTGGCCTTCCCATGACTTCTCTCATCTCCTAAGGAACCAGGTCTGGAAGATCGCAGCTCTTACAGTTAAACTCTCTTAGCCTTAACATCCCTAGATAGGTATATCCCGACTGTCACGTAATGACGAGATATTCCTCACCGAGACGTATTACTGACACGGTTTTAGGACACTGGAATGACCAGTTTGACTCAATAACCGTTATCAGTGAGTGATTCCCCTGCCTTAGGTGGTAACAAACCAATGGTTGCTTGTCACTTAGCGACAGTTTGTGTGGGCTCCTGATCCGGAATTGCAAAGCAAAAGGTAAAGTTAATTCTTAATCTGCAATCACTATAGGTCGGCGAAGGCTGATTCTCTTTGTTACGCATTTCCCTAACTTGTATTTATCACTGTTGTGCCCTTACGCTTACGCGCTACACTTCAACTGGTGTGAATTACATTATCAATAGCAGACATCTTGTCCCTATTGTTCTTCTTCACTAGAATGTGTAGGGAGTCGATTTTATCATGTCGAGGTTATCGGGCTCGGCTTGTCTTGACGTGTTCATAGCGTGAAGTCGCATCATCGACCGTTCACTCGCGCTAAAGGGTCACATGACTGTTCCAAGTCTTTACCGGTAGCACTTCATTGTAATGTGTAGTGATGAGTAGACTCATTTTTGGGGACTCATAACGGCTCATCACAAACGTCTTCACTTATTACCTGCACAGGTGTAGAAGAGTGGTCTTTGAATGCAGATCTGTTGATCTTTCTCCGCGGCCTTCGCCTTCAATTCCTCAAGCCACAGCGGATTCTGTGGAGACTGTGTACCGGCTGGGAATTGGGGCTGAATATTATTTGCAACCGACGAACTCTCAACACTCCGTCGGCAGACGACCACAGAAACGGCCTGAGAGCAACTCTTCTTTCCATCCGTCTCTGCATACTGGATCTGTTTAAAAAAAAATAGCAACAGGTCTAAATACACAGGAATACAAGTTAACTACGTAAGGCAACCGCTAAAGTGCCGGAATGCTAGTATTTGAAGTCATAACTGTCGGCCGAGATGTGTTCTCCCCTTTCAAGTACGTGAAATTACATACGCCTAGGTTTCTTTAGGGCAGTTAAAGTAGGATCATCCAAACACATCTATAGTTTGCTCCAGCTCCGACTTATCCAGTAAGAACGCTCCCCGCCATACCATGTGATACAATAGCAGTGGCAAGATGGATAATTCACAAGAAAATAAATAGTCCACTTACAGTCTACATGTTCCAAGTAAGGCGGCCACCCTACGTTGTGCTCCTTTAATAAACTCACCAACGCTTATTCGCGGCAACGGTCGCCACTCTATGAATAGTGTTCGCAAGGTTTGTCATACCAGGAAAAAACTTAAATTGTCGGACCTTGCAACTAAGCCAATATGAAATCGTTCAGTGTGATAGCAAACGAGACGCAACCGGAAAAAGCAGCAGGGTTCTAAAGTTTTTGGAAAGTGTGCTTTTTGAAGAGGGACATTTTAGTGCTTGGGAATGCTCCCAACTTATCCCCATAAGACGTCTTCGTGTAGAATATTCATGCTTGAATCTGTGTTCTTATGAAGGGCGATTAACTCACCTCTCTCACAATGGGTCCATTACCTAGCAGTTCTATTGTCTTCTCCAACGATGTGCACCGTGTGTCCCACAGCAGGCTGGGCGCAGGGACGGCGGTTTGCACATGATCTAGTTTGATTTGGTCTAGTAACTGAACTGATGCAATTTGATCGGCTACGTTTCGCAAGACGAGCGTTTCACATGATGACAGGTGTTGATCGAAAGCAAACCTCTGCTCGCCAAATATTCTTCCAAATCTCCCTCAGATGACTGCGCGCGAGTTTCCTACTGTGTGCGCTTTTCGCTGTGAGCCATGCTCAGTTTATGCCTGCTTGATATGTGTAACCTTGCGCCCAGGTGCGCTCGCTCCACGGGGCATCGAAACACAACAGTAAACCAGGCATATTAAACGTTCTTTTTTATGTTTGACACATGTGCAGAAATTATTCGTAAACTTGGAGTAAATCAGTCGAAGGAAATTAAAAAAATCCTGGCAACTTCGGAACTGAAGTATCTACCGGAAAGTAAAGTACAGGGCACCGACGAGCTGAGCCCCACACAACTGTGTAATGCAGCGGCGTAATATTGGTTAAACACGTGTCCGGGGTTTTAGCTAGTACCACTGTTGTGAGTATAGTATATGGTTTATATTCATTTTTGGCCAGCTTGTGCACTGTCCCACACACGCGTAGATGCGTTGTGTTTTGGTAAACGAGTTTGGAGGAGTTACTCTCAAATGGCGTCTTAAATTGTTAGAGCTTCTTTCAAAGGTTAGGCTGTCGAAAACCTACTTGTTCACCATGGAAAGATGAAAAATACACTCAAAACTCCGTCCGTAGACCCGAGAAAAGACCTTCACTTGATCAGGACATAATTTATAGGAGCCCCTGAAACTCCTGTATCAAACATTCCGCTTTCCTAGAACTAAAGACCAGGCAGTCTCGATGACCGACATCTTAAATTTAATTAAGCCTTGAGGTAACCTGTCCGCTGTATAGGCACGATACGACAGATACAGATAATTGTCTTTCTGACTACCTTAACCATAGCGTGTGTGTTCATATGTCTTTAGGATTTTGAAGCAATGGTGCAGTGATTATAGAAAATATTATGGATAATACAGAGTATCGCGAGGAATACAAGAAGGCAAGTTTTCAGGAAGTGTATAAAATGTGCACAATGATTGCACTGATAATCTATACCATCTGCATCATTGGACTCGAAGGACTTCCGTCACACATGTCCAGCACATCTTAGTCCGATTATGCGTTATTTAAAATCTCCCTTGGCTTGTTTTGCGTGAATGTCCTGGCCTTTGCCGGTTACTTTTGGAGATTTAAAGATAGAAATTGGTTAAAATATGTTCTGGCAACTTAGGACGCCTGTGACGTCCGACACCAAATAAACTGGTAGATCACTGCGCTCCTGTGAACTACAGTCTCCTAAGCATTCCAGATAAACAAAAGCATATGATGTCTATTCTTTTTGTCAGTAATGGTGTGGTAGATGCTCTTTTACTTAACGCACCCAAAGTCAGACCAAAAGTTCCTGAGCACTAATTATGATATAAGCTCGAGAGGTACGAGTTCGAATGTCATGAATTACGACGTTGGCCGCTGTTCCAGGGAGTGGATTCAACGACGGTGACGTGCGCACGAATTCGCTTATAATAAATCAGACGTGGACTGCGCAACCTATTGTCCACCACCTCTGTACAGAATACACTATTCCTCCCAACTGGCGTGTCACTTCTTCCTATCCCACACGAAATCGGGCCTGAAGATCACAGCGGCAAGGGTTTTACCTAATAACTTAAGCCACCGCGATAACCTCAGTGACATGAAAATTACAGGAACAACAGTTTCAGATGTATCCTAGTCAACTTCGAAATCGCGGCCCGGATCATGAAAGTCAGGTGTACCTACGACAGATAGTATGTAGTGGGCGTTAGCACCTCTGTGGGAATCCGTGATCGCTGACTCATTACGCCAAGGCTGCAGTCACGCTGACTGCCCGCACCCTGTCCATCTATAGTTCAATGTCTGGCGCGACCTGCTAACACGCGATGTCGCGGTCTGACAAATTACCATCAAGGCTGACCGAGACAGAGACAACTTTCGGCGGCAGCCCTGATTACCGCCGCTAGACCACACTCCGGACCTGGCCAGATTAGAGAACGATTGCACTAATCCACGTGTCAAATCTCCTCCTAACTCTTCTCCTTTCCATTTGTAAAGAACATATTCTTCCTACTACTCTGGCCTTTCCAGGAATTCTCTCATCTTCTAAGGAACCGGGCTTGGGAGATCGCAGCCTTAACGTACCTCGATAAGTACCCTTCCATAATAAATAGCCACTTCATCCTCGACACACCAAGCTTAAATGGCATAAGCAAGCGTACCGGTCATACTCCCCGGCCATTTCAAATTCAAGCATCTTCGGAAGATCCTAACATACAATGGTATGAACAGATGCTAAGTATTCCTCCCTGAAATTTATTGGTCTGCACATCATCTTTGAAAATGCGAGGCAGAACCAACTACTATACACTAAACACCAGGAAATTGTATTCCAAAAGGCTTCCTGCACAGCATATAACCGAGAAGAGAATATAACAGCAGTTCAGAATACGACCAAGCCAGCTGTCTTGCGGCTGAATGACATTTTCACAAAATTGCCTAACCGTAACGCCAATATCTACTGTCTATAGCAATGCTTGTTAGACGCGGGGATAGGAGCCCCTGCAATACGCATTACCTTGCGCTAATTGCCAGATCTATTAGGATCGTGTTAAGTTTAGAGTTAAGGGCAGTGTTGGAGTTAGGACTAAGGGTAGGCTAAGGATTAACTTTGGAGTAGAGGTTAATGTTCTGATTAGGAATATTACACGGTAATAGGTAACCTTCATGAAATTTACCATCAAACGGCCTTTAGTATTGCGGGGAGGAGAGAGTATAGTGGACTCTAGCGGCCACTTGGAACCCAAGATCAGCCGCTAACACATGGCGCCTTTAGCGTGCGCGCCCACTGCCTCCTGGTGCTAGGCACTAACTGTCCTTGCTTGATGTCAGCCTTCGCCCATCTCAAGGTCGCGCGCCCACGATAGTCTAGACATCAACCGCGTCACTGGCCGTCGTAACAGAGCATGCACCGACATTGCGGCGATTCCTGATGCCCTCTTCACTCCGGAATTAGGCCCCGGCAGCCGGACTGTGGTCATCCGAGAGTCAAAACTCTTTCCATCTATTTTCCTATCCTTCTACAGAATACACTATTCCTAACAATCTGGCTTTCCCACCGACTTCTTACCTCATCTAAAGGAACCATGAGCCTGGAAGATCGTAGCTGTTAGGGTTAACTTTCTTAGCCTTAACACCTGTTGATAAGGGTTGTATGTCCGTGTTTTGTCGTAAAGTTCTACAAACTCACAAGCAAAACTTTTTTTCCGTGTTTCCATCCTCTGACCTTGCCATTTAGATAATTTTAAGGCGGCGATCAACGTGCGTATGGGCACGTTTTCGCGTGCATTTTTGCATCTTCCCATTGGAACGATTTGCACCATACTTATTATGTGAGAAGCTGTGTGCTGTACTGAATCGAGGTACAAACAGATATTTACTGAAATGTGTATTGTTAAGGGGTTTTGGCAGATCTGCTTATTTTGAATTGACCCAATTGTGAAAAAAAAACTCCCACCGACGCCGCGAGTTTTTTCCCAATTAGGTCAACTGGAAATGTGTATACATTGTGCTGTTGGGTTCATAGATGATCAACTTTCGGTCTGTAATGTCTTTAGACGCCCCCGGAAGATATTGTCTATTTTGGCATCGTTTGCCACACAAACCGAAACATGTCAATGAGAGGCTACATGGATTTGCACTCACAAATAACATGCCCTGAATTCCAGTATAGAGAGTCAATGTGAATGTGCCAGTCTATGTGATGAACATCGGAAATAAGACGTCGCATTGGCTATTCGAAATTTATCGCTGAAGTGCATCGCTTAGTATCCGTGAGGCTGCCTGGAACTGAGTAACCTTACTAGCTCCGACTTCGTTTTGTGGCAACGGAGTGTTGCATTTAAACTCATGAAATGTAGAAAAGGCAGAAAGCACCACGATTAGTGTCTGAAGGTACGTTGTCGAATTCAAGTAATTTATGTAACTACTGCAACAGATAGACCCTGGCACGATTCCATACTAAAGCAAAAAACTGGATCCTAGGTATAACCAGCCAAAACCTCGTTATACTGGTGAGAAGATTTATGCTTTTGTGCTCAAAGATTAAAAGCCGGTAGAAGGACGCATGACCAAAACTTTATATCACAGTGATTTTCAAGGACAGCATGTCTACCTGACCCAATAAATACCCAGGAAGAGTCGTCTTTTGAAGGCACGGCAAAACACAGTTTACATTTCATTCAGTTTTTAAACTCGAACGACAGTTTTTCCGTCTTCTTAAACTGATAAAGATTCCACTTTTTCACAGGACTTGGACATTTTTTATACATTATTTTGAGTTTGTTGCATGTCCTTGTGAAGTAAAAATAACTTTCTGGTGAAGAATGTCATACTCCAAGATCAAAAGTGATGTGTTTTTATTTTTCTTCGGACCGCAGTGGTTGGGGACTGTTTTGCCGAGATTGTTTATGAACTAAAAACTAAAGCACGTGAGTAAAGGAGAAGATCGATCGAGCACCTGAACAGTTTGCTTCATATTCTGAACTAAAGCATATTCTACCTCCCCCGCTCGCCCTCTATCGCGCGCTCTCTCTAGACCTATCTGTCTGCGAAAGGTTAAAACAACAGATAACTCCTGACTGAGGAAAGCAGAAAAAAATAACATTTCTGTCTTGCGACTTAGAATACAGTCGCTATCTATCTACTCACACGGGGAAAGAGAGGAACTCACAGGCTCATGCAACTTGCTCCCGAGGACAATACACATTCTCTCTCCAGTTGCCTCATTGGGGAAATCAATGGTTGTGTCCAACATATCATCCAAGTAGAAGGTGATGAGGAAGTCTTCGGGATTCGACACGCTTGCTGTGATGTCCTGTCTGAGTAACTTGTAGAAATAGCGCAGTTCGTGTGTCTTGGGCAGGCTGGCGCCCCTGTTTTCACAAATCTGCTGGGCAGCCCTTCGGCCTGTAACAACTGTCGTATTATCCGAGGAAAACTGCCAAGTAAAGTTTAGGGTTCCGCCAGCCTCATCAAGCTTTATTTGTCTCGAGGATGTGAAGTCCTCAGCGAGGCTAGGGATGTTTAACAGACAGATGCTGATGAGGAGGAGGAGAAGGAAAGTATGGAGCCTGAAAGGGGAGAAGACGTCTGTTTGGCGTATCATCTTATCTTTTTCGGTTACTCGCTCTCCAGTGCTGCCAGTATAAGGTCCTCTTCCTGCGCTGTCCACGCGCTAACGACCTGTGCTGACCGCGTCTCATTTGATAACAGACAGGCTTCAGATGAGCGCGGGACTTCATTAGCATAAGCGTATTCGGCGGTGGCACAAGTACCTTTGTGTGTGCTCTCTCTATGCTGCAAAGTCACATTGCAGTCGCAAATGGTAATGAGAAGCAGATTGGCCAGCGGGCTTGGAGTATGCGTTTTTTTGATCTACCGAACACTGTCACACAGGTTAGTTCCGGACGTATTCCTGTTGTTGCAAGATACACTACAGTATTCTTGCGCATGCAGTATCCCCCAGAAGAAATTTATTTTAACAGGTGATCGCCTTTATGTTTGAAGGATTATTATGCACCTTCGGGTTAACGTAAGGTTTAGAGTTTGGATGCACGTTCTATGAATAGGTCCACCTTGGCATGTGTTTCGAAGAGGCCTGGTGGTAGTCGAACATCCAATGTTTAAACTCTCTCGAGTCTAGCTCACGTGATCCTAGCTGTATTTAAAAATAAAGTGTAGTGGTCCTGTCTGTCCGACGCCCTCCTAACTCTTGACGTCACAGACAAGGTCGCTTAGAGCTTAGGACCTCGCGTGCAAGCAGTTTTCCCGCGTGCCTCGAGGCATGCGTAATCAGACAGGCGACCGCCACGGCTGCCAGAGGCAACCGACGCGCACCCAAACACACGTACCAAGTTTCTCCCATTCTGGCCTCAACCAACAGTGGCTTGACCTCAATCTGTCCAATGAGAT